GACTTCGCATCCCGGGATCACGCTTCCAGGGGCCGCTCCACCTCCTGCATATCCGAGTCCTGCCCCACTTGGCGGTGGCGGTAACAGGGTCTTTACTCCATAAAAATGCCCTCCACTGAAAGCATTGCTTCAATTTCATGGTTCAGCAAATTTTCCCCAGCCTCCGTGCGGACAGATTATTTCATTGTCTTCAACAGAAGGCGTGTTTGTATATGCACATATGCTTGAGAGAAATTTACTGAAAAGATGTGGGTAGGAGACCAGCTGGCAGCACTTCCCTCACCAGGATCCTCTGTTAGCAATCTGCCTGAGTTCTTGTTTGCCATGCCCAGCACCCAGCAGGGGCGAGAAAGGCTGCAGAAGGAACGCGTGGGGCACCGTCGGACTGATCCCACGGCCCCTCACCACCCCAGAGGAAGGGAGGTGCTGACCTCTGAGAGCCAAGCAGAGTGAAGACTTTACAGGGCAAGTGAAGGGCTTGGCGGTAAGTAAGGAGGCCAGTGGTGCAGTGGTTAAGTGCTAGGATGCTAATCAAAAGGTTGGTGATTCGACAGTGGGACGCAGAACTCAAATACTAGTAAGAAGGCCAGACTTCATGGTCTAAGACTGGAGGGGCCCCGGAAAGCACGGCCCCTGGTCTCTCCATCACCCCAGAACTAAAACAATTTCCGAGGCCATCTCTTCAGACAGGGAGTGGACTGGACTGTGGGACAAAAAGTGATACTCGTGAAGAATGTGCCTCTTAGACAAGTAGATATAAGAGACCAACGGGGCGGCTTCTGTCCAAAGGTGAGAGGGGAAGGCAGAGAGAGTTAGGAGCTGGTTGAATGTTCATGCAGAATCAGGGGCAGACGGGAGAAGTGTGCTGTCGCAGAATGGGGTGAGCGGTTGGGGTCTCATAACAATGTATGTTAAAAAAAAGAAAAGAAAATTCTGTATGGAGAGACTAACTTGAAATGTAAACTTCATTTAATTACATCAATTAAAAAAAAAGTCTAGAGCTGCGAAAAGGTTGGCGATTCGAACCCACCAGCCACTCTTGGGGAGAAAGATGTGGCCGTCTGCTTCCGTAAAGATTCACGGCCTTGGAAACCCTATGGAGCAGTTCTACTCTGTCCGACAGGGTCGCTGTGAGTCAGAAACGTCTCGACGGCAATGGGTTTGCTGGTCTGGGCAATTGGTCCCGTCCGGAGCATAGATGTCAGATATAAAAGGGAAAAGGCACACGGTTATTCAGGGACCGCTCTTCTAGTTTCTTCCTAAAGAGTCTTCCTGGAACCTCAATTGTTATGCCTACTCAGTGGGGATAATACCTACAGCTTTCTCAAGCTTTTTTTTTTCCCTCTTCAAGGTTTAAAATCTGTATAGACTCTTCAAGTGTGTGAAGCACAGGAGTGCTAAACAAAGGTTGGGGTAGTGAGGGGAGTTTCAAAACGTGAAATCACAGACTGAGAGGCTATGACACGTTTCCCCCGTTTCTCTTTCTCCTTCCCCCTTTTTTCTCTCGCCTTTTGCCATCAGCTTCTCTTTACGGTTATAGCAGGAAGCTACGCAAAGCAGCAGGCAGAAAGCATGCTGTTACGGATTGAATTGTTTTCCCCCAAAATATGGGTTGATTTCCTGGCTCTCGTACCTGTGGAGAAGGAGCCCTGGTGGTACAGTGGTTAAGCGCTCAGCTGCGAACCGATAGGTCGATGGTTTGAACCTACCGGCCACTCCGTGGGAGAAAGATGTGGCCGTCGGCTTCCATAAAGATTACAGCCTTGGAAACCCTATGGGGTAGTTCTACTCTGTTCTATAGGGTCGCTATGAGTTGGAATCTACTCGACAGCATTGAGTTTTTGGTCTGGGTACCTGTGGACATGATCTTGTTTGGAAATAGGGTTTTTCTAAGTTAATGAGGGCATACTAATGTCGGTTTAGTCCTAAGTTTATCAAAAGACTAGAATAGACCCACAGACACACCGGGGTAAAGATAGACGCGATGTGAGGACCGTCTATAAGCCAAGGAACTAAGAAACATTAAGGCTACAGACAAAAACGGAATCGACAAGGCCGAAACCCTCATTTGGACTTTCAGCTTCCAGAACTCTGAGAAGATAAATTTCTGTTCTTTAAAGCCACCTGTGTGTGATACAGAAACCCTGGTGGCATAGTGGTTAAGAGCTACGGCCACTAAGCAAAGCGTCAGCAGTTTGAATCCACCAGGTGCTCCTTGGAAACTCTATGGGGCAGTTCTACTCTGTCCTATAGGGTCTCTATAAGTCGGAATTGACTCGACAGCAACAGGTTTTACCTTGTGGTATTTGTGTTACAGCAGCACGAGGTAACTAAGACCCATTCCAACGAGAAGATAAGCTGAGAGTGGAGAGCCACAGATCCAGGAAAGGAAGAAGGTAGGGTGTGGTAGGCAAAATAGTGGCCTCCCAAACCCATGTCCACCCCTACTCCCCAGAACCTGGGAATATGTTAAATTACATGGCAAAGGGAGATTAAGGTTGTAGACGGAATTCAGACTGGTTATCAGCTGGCCTTAAAATAGGGAGATTATCTGGGTGGGTCACAAGGGTCCCTGAAAGCGGAAGAGGGAGGCAGAACCGGAAGGTGGAGTGATTGGACGTGAAGACTCAACCAGACTGAGCCATCTGCTTCTGCTGTTATAAGGGCTCTTCACTGTAACAGGTGGGGGCCCAAATGGGGTCTGAGAGAGCTCATTTTAGGCAGGAAGCATAAGCAGAATTTTTTTTTTTTTTTTTAACAAAGAGAAGTTGATTTCCTTACAGTAAAGTAGGCTGAAAGTCCAAATTCAAGGTGTCAGCTCCAGGGGAAGGCTTTCTCTCCCTCATCAGTGTCCCCCCAGACTAGGAGCTTCTCGGTGCAAGGACCCTGGTCCGAAGGACGCGCTCTGCTCCTGGCACTGCTTTCTTGATGGTATGAGGTCCCCAGGAGAATTTTTCTCTTAAGCAAAAGGAATAAAATGCCTATGTTTCTGGAGTTTAGAATCCCAGTTTATATTCCTTCTGGCAAAACATATACTCTTACAGAACTGATATTCCGTACCATGGAATCATGGTTGGGCTTATATATATTTAAGTGGTTTCCCCTCATTTGTAAAAAGAAAAGATTTAGCCACAAGTGGCGTCACACACCCGCCTCTGTAGGCTCACACCCACCCCAGCAGCCCTGGGCAGAAGCCTTTTAACCAGGGTCTTTGTTGTCGCCAACTGCCGTGGAGTCAGCCCGACTTATGGTGAGGCCACGCACCACAGGATGGGACCGTTGTGATCCACAGGGTTTTCACTAGCTGCTTTTTCAGAAGTAGGTTGCCAGGCCTTTCTTCTTACTCTGTCTTAGTCTGGAAGCGCCACTGAAACCTGTTCAGCATCAGAGCAGCACACAAGCCTCCACTGGCAGTCGGATGATGGCTGTACTTGAACCCAGATCTCCTGCGTGGAAGGAGAGGATTCTACCACTGACCCACCCACTGCCCCTTAAGCAGGGGCTGCAGCTGTTTTCCAGCTGGTGGCTCCAGCCGAGCTGTGTGTTTGGTCGCACTCCATGGGATGGGTTAAGTGGGACCTCAGGCATTAGGCTTTTCTCACGGAGAGTTGATTTTCTTACCATTTCCCCAAAGTCTCCGGAGAACCCTTTGCTAATTTCAAAGGAACAGGAGTCACATTTCCCAGGAAACTGACACTTCCTTCTCTGCTTCCTCGCTGTCCTGGCACACTGTGAGGTCAGCATCCCATATATCCTGAGCCCCAGGCACTCCCTGATTGGGAAGGACAAAGAAAGGGAAAAAAAGAAGGGGTGAAGGCAGGAGGGGAAATCGTAGAAGAATTAATAAAGGTCCCTGTGTGGCGCAAACGGTTTGCGCTCCACTCCTAACCTAAACGTTGGTGGTTTGAACACGCCCAGCGGTGTCTTGGAAGAACGGCCTCCCTATTGTAAGGATTACAGCCAAGGAAACCCTATGGAGCAGTTCTCTCTATAACACATAAGGTCGTCATGAGTTGAAATCAACTCAAATGCTACAAGTTTAGTGGGGTTTTTGGGGGACTGTGTATGGGTTGGAGCCCTGGTGGCACAGTGGTTAAAAGCTACGGCAAGCTATGGCTGCTAGCCAAAAGGTCAGCAGTTCAAATCCACCAGCAGCTCCTTGGAAATCCTGTTCGTTTCTGACCTGTAGGGTCGCTATGAGTAGGAATCGACTGGATGGCAATGGGTTTTTTTTTTTTTTTTTTGGTTATGGATTGAATTACATCCTCCAAAAATATGGGTTATAAATCCTAACCCCTATACTGTGGCTGAAATTCCATTTGGGAATAGGATTTTATTTGTTATGGTGATGAGCCCATATGAGTGTAGGGTTGTGTCTTAAACCAATCACTTCTGAGATATAAAAAGAGCAGCTTAGGTACAGAAAGAAGCAAGCACAAATGGGGAAAACTAGATGCCACAAGATGGCCAAGGAGCGCCGAAAGGAACACTAGAAAATCAGAGGCAAAGATTTTCCCCCAGAGCGGACAGAGAGAGCCTTCCCCTAGAGCCGGCACCCCGAATACGGAATTCTAGCCTCGTAAACTGTGAGAAAATACATTTCTGTTTGTGAAAGCCACTCATTTGTGCGATTTTTGTTACAGCAGCACATAGAAACTAAGACAGGTTGGTAAGTATCTGTAAGTCCTGTGGAGAATAGAATGGAATTTGGACGTAGCCCACAGCCACAAAGAGCTTATAATTTAGTCGGAGAGTCAGCATCCGGATCAGCTATTAAGCCGTCACTATTAGTTTCCTATCCACATCCATTCTCTCCCCGCCTTCTTCATCGCTGGCAAAGCCCTGATAGTTTCTATAAAAGCAGTTATTTCACACTGAAATGTGTCTTAGTTTCCTATGGCTGCTGTAACAAAAAAAATGCCACAAGCAGTGGCTTTAAGGAGCAGGAATTTATAGTCTCACTGTTTTGGAGGCGGGAAGTCCAAATCAGGGCATCGGCTCTAGGGGAGAATCTTTCTTTGTCCCCTGCTCTGGGTGTTCCTTGGCATTCTTGGGTGTTCCTGGGTGTTTCTGGGCATTCCTGGGTGTTCCTGGGTGTTCCTGGGCATTCCTGGGTGTTCCTGGGCATTCCTAGGTGTTCCTGGCTGTTCCTGGGCATTCCTGGGCATTCCTGGGTGTTCCTGGGTATTCCTGGGCATTCCTGAGCATTCCTGGGTGTTCCTGGGCATTCCTGGGTGTTCCTGGGAGTTCCTGGGCATTCCTGGGCATTGCTGGGCATTCCTGGGCATTCCTGGGCATTGCTGGGTGTTCCTGGGTGTTCCTGGGCATTTCTGGGCACTCCTGGGCATTCCTGGGCATTCCTGGGCATTCCTGGGCATTGCTGGGTGTTCCTGGGCATTCCTGGGTGTTCTTGGGCATTGCTGGGCATTCCTGGGTGTTCCTGGGCATTCCTGGGTGTTCCTGGGCATTGCTGGGCATTCTTGGGCATTCCTGGGTGTTCCTGGACATTCCTGGCCATTCCTGAGTGTTCCTGGGTGTTCCTGGGTGTTCCTAGGCGTTACTGGGTGTTCCTGGGTGTTTCTGGGCATTCCTGGGTGTTCCTGGCTGTTTCTGGGCATTCCTGGGCATTCCTCAGCATTCCTGGGCATTCCTAGGTGATCCTGGGTGTTCCTGGGCATTCCTGGGCATTCCTTGGCATTCCTGGGCATTCCTGAGTGTTCCTGGGTATTCCTGGGTGTTTCTGGCTGTTCCTGGGTGTTCCTGGGCATTCCTGAGCACTGCTGGGCATTCCTGGGCATTTCTGGCCATTGCTGGGCATTCCTGAGCATTGCTGGGCATTCCTGAGCATTCCTGGGCATTCCTGGGCATTCCTGGGGGTTCCTGGGTCTTCCTGGGTGTTCCTGGGGGTTCCTGGGTCTTCCTGGGCGTTCCTGGGGGTTCCTGGGCATTGTTGGGCATTGCTGGGCATTCCTCGGCATTCCTGGGCTTTCCTGGGTGTTCCTGGGCGTTCCTGGGCCTGAGAAGGGTCTTCACAAGGTCTCCTCCCACTGTGTGTCCGTCTCTCTGTGTCTGTCCTCCCCTTTATCAGATACCACTCAGAAAGGATTAGGCTCAGGTCCCACCCTACCCTGACATACCGAGGAAAAACTCCTCTTCCCATACAAGGTCACACTGACAGGTGCAAGAGTTAAGATTTCAACATATCTTTTGGGGTGAACATAATTGAATTCATAACAAAGTGTGATATAGCGTTTCTCAAACTTTACTGTGATCTCGTTACAAAGCAGACTCTGATTCTGTAGGACATGAGATTCTGAATTTCTAATAAACTCTGAGGTGATGCTGATGCTGCTGGTCCATGGACCACACTCTGAGTAGCAAGGGTATAACATACACAGAGGAAAGTGTGCAGATCATAAGCACACAGCTTGATGGTGAACACAACTGTCTAACTACAACTCAGATTAGGAACTAGAATGCTACTTGCATCTCAGAAGCCACCTGTGTGCCCTCTTCCGGTCACTACCCCCAAATTACTCCTCAAAGGTGACAACTCTCCTGAGTTCTAACACCATAGATTAGTGTTACTGGTTTTGAACTTTATATAGCATATGTTCTTTGGGGTGAAGCTCTGAGCTTGACTAGGTATCTGAACTCCACAAGGCCACGTGCTCAAGGAAGGTGACACTCTCCCCAGGCACAGACCTCTGTCCTCCAAGACATGGGTACTTCATTCCCTTCGTCGGTATTTGTTTTAGACACGTGCGTGTGGTACAATCCCCACCAATGAGGAAAGTCGGCTAGGGGACTTTTGGGGAAAGTTTTCCTCGTTGATGAAACAGGTACACGGAAGAAATATTCTTTTGTTTCTGTTCAACATTGTCGTGCCTGGAATTACGGCAGTCACCTTACACCAATGAAGGGAAATGTCTGAGGATGGAAGAGTGAAAACAAGGCTGGAACTAAGGTGAGATGAGATAGGCACTCATCAAGGGAGTAAAATTTAATGAGGTGCCAAAGATCTCAGTAATCAAGATAAATAGTATTTAATGCACTATTTTAAAAATGAAAATTAATGCAAAAAAATCCATGATGAACAAAATATCAAATTTTTAAATAACTATAGGGTCGTGGTTACTGACTTTTCCTTTTGCCTCAGGCTCGATATCCCTTGACTCACAGGACCTATTCTGAAGAACGATAAATAACTAAGGAGCCCTGGTGGCACAGTGGTTAAGTGCTTGGCCGCTAACCCAAAGGTCAGCAATTCAAACCCACCAGCCACTCCACGGGAGAAAGATGCGACAGTCTGCTTCCGTAAAGATTACAGCGACCTGTAAGGCTGCTATGAGTCGGAATTGACTCGATGGCAATGGGTACATAACTAAATAAAGCTGAGGTTCTGTTAGGAAGGAGGAGGGAAGAATAATGGCTTCCAGGGAGGCCATGAACAGCAATGTTGTTAGCTTCTGTTGAGTCATGGTGACCTAATGTATGACAGGGCAGGTCCAGCACCATCATCATGATCGTTGGTGAATCTGAGTGCCCTGTTGTAGTCATTGTGTCAATCCATTTCACTGAGGGCTTCCCTCATTTTCGCTGGCCAAACATCATGATGTCCTTTGGTCTTTCCTGATGACATGTCCAAAGTCAGTGAGTCAAGGTCTCACCATCGTCACGTCTAAGGAGCACTTTGGTTGATTTCTTGTGAGACCAGCAGTATAGCACCATGTAAAAAAGGGAATGGCCTTTGATGAGTCCCAGTGTCAATACGTACCACCTGTGGGAACCTGGGAAAATTATATCACCTCTGAGAGTCTGTTTTCTTATCTGTAAACAAGAGATAATAATGCCTGTTTGACAGGAGTGTTTGTAATATGAGGGTGAAGTGAGATAGTACCTTGACAGCGTGCGTTCACACACGCTGTTCCTTCACCCAGCCCCCCTCAGACACGGAGCTGCTGTGGGCTAGTTCAGCCCTGTCATCTGTAATCATCTCACAAGGGTAGTCAGCACATGGTGAGCATTTAATAGATGTTTATTAATAGACTTGCTTATTCATCAACAAAAGAACATTCCTTTTCTTCTCCTTAATACTAATAATTATGAAATTATCTGTGTAGCCCATTTTTAAGAGCTCTGGTGGTGCAGAGGGTTAAGCATTGGGCTGCTAACCAAACGGTCGACAGTTTGAACCCACCAGCTGCTCCATGGGAGAAAGATGTGGCAGTCTGCTTCCATAAAGATTTACAGCCTTGGAAACCCTATGGGACAGTTCTACTCTGTCCCATAGGGTCACTTTACTTTGACACCGGAAAAAATTTAGCTAGCTATATTTGAATTTGAGAGCCCTGGTGGCACAATGGTTAAAGCACTAGGCTGCTAACCAAAACGTCAGCAGTTCGAACCCACCAGCCCCTCCGCAGGAGAAAGATATGACAGTCTGCTTCCATAAAGGTTTACAGCCTTGGAAACCCTATAAGGCAGTTCTGCTCTGTCCTATAGTGTTGCTATGAGTCGGAATCGACTTGACAGCAGTGATTTGTATTTGAATTTCAGCCATAACAACTATTTTGCCTTCATGACCTACACATCTATGTTCTTCTTTTCCTGATCTTGATTTTCCATCCCTATGTTCCTTGGGGAAATTTTCCCCTACCTCTGTTTTTTTCCAGCAGCATTTTGTTGTGTGGGTCCTGGCTATAAGCCATGTTGGTGGGAAGAGGTGGGGCAAAAACGAATAGACAAATCAAATCATAACTTTTAAAAAAAAGCCACTGCAGATGTACCCAGGCCTTTCCCCGTGATGAAATGGCTGTCTTTCCCATGCTGGCTGGGAAGCATCACGGCGTGACATCAGGCTTTGTTCCGAGGGGGTGGGAGGTGCCAAGGGGAAAACTGCGGCCTGAAAGACTTCCAAGGAAACAGGCTTCCTTCAGAGGCGATCCCACATTACACAGTTGGCAACTCTAAGCTGAATGTTCCCCCGGTTCCAGGGGGAAATGAAATACATTCCCCCTGTCGCTTCCCTTTCAAGCCCTCACAGCTGGAGGACAGGACAGCCAAGTTCCGCCCTTCTCAATGCAGGTTGTCACTTGGATGCCAGGGTCTGGTGATCGATTAGCCAAACAGCCAACGTGAGAAAGGGCTCATCGTGCATCGTTTCTGCTTATCTATCATCATTAAATGCTCCATTTAACACAAAAGAACCTGATTTTCTCTTGCTACCGCTCAAGGAGGGCCATCACTACCGAGAAAGAAAATAGTCACAAAGGGGAGTGAAAAGAAACAGGACTTCTGAGCAGAACCCCCATTTGTTATTCTGCACCCGAGGCTGCTTTCATTTCAAGGGATCTGAGAACAGGAGTGGGGGCTCCAGGGTAAGCCTCTGATTCTACAGATCAAGGGCAGATGCCCAGAGAGGTAAAGTGACTCACCCCAGGTCACCTGTCTTAGTCATCTAGGGCTGCTATAACAGAAATACCACAAGTGGATGGTTTTAACAAATAGAAGTTTATTCTCTCACAGCCTAGTAAGCTAGAAGTCTGAATTCAGGGGAAGGTTTTCTATCTCTGTCAGCACTGTAGGAAAGTCCTTATCATCAATCTTCCCTTGGTCTAGGAGCTTCTCCACGCAGGAACCCCGGGTCCAAAGGATGCGCTTTGCTCCTGGCACTGCCTTCTTGGTGGTATGAGGTCCCCATGTCTCTCTATTCAAAAGGAATTGGCTTAAGACAAAAGCCAATCTTGTAGATTAAGTCCTGCTTCATTAACATAACTGCCACTAATTCCATCTCATTAACATCATAGAGACGGGATTTACAACACATAGGAAAATCACATCAGATGACAAAATGGTGAACAATCACACAATACTGGGAATCATGGCCTAGCCAAGTGGACAGATATTTTCGGGGGGTACAGTTCAATCCATGACATCTCCCAACGGCAAGGGCAGGACTAGACTCACATCAACTAACTCCTTGTTATCCAGTCTTTACTCACAACACCATATACTTTTCATCAGACCATTCACAAACTCTTGTAAGAGATTTAATAATTCAAATAGATGATGCCCTTGCAAAGAAGAGCAAACTGCAGAGGACCCCACCAATCCAAACAGTAAAGTTAAAGAACCCAGCTTATTTTTCTCATCATACAGAATTAAATAGTTCACAGGCTGACACTCCCTAACTCACAAAAAAAAAAAAGCTGTGTTCTAACAGTACGTTTGGAATTGGGCTATTTAGAATGCAGGATGTGTGTGTGTGTGTTGTGTGTGGATGAGTGTTTCAGAGAAATCACATGATAAAGTACAGTTTGAACCCCAGGCCAGGTCACAAAGGCCAACTTAACCAATAAGTAACCACGGTAAACTCGAAGCAACCCTTCATCATATTGTTTCCATGGAAAAATACATTCTAAGTTTCAAGAAAAGAATAGTAGAAACACAGCAAATCCACCAAAGCCTCAGCAGGACGATATCCCTCCTAGGTGCCTGGTGGGGAGCTGGGAGGTGAGAGGGTATAAGAGCCTGGAGGACGTGAAGAACCATGAACTAGGTATGGACTTCGCATGGGGGCAGAGCTGAGTTCGAGTTCTACCTCTGCTACTTAATAGCTGAGCAAGTTCCGTAACCTCTCTAAGCCTCTGTAAAATGAGGATGAGAATGATACTTACCTCACAGGTAAATTATAAGGACAAAATAAGACAATGTATATGAAGGACCTATTATAAAGTGCCTTGCATATACCAACAAAAGCTATCTTTTAGTCATGTTGTTGCTTGTGGGAGGCAAACATTGGCCTCTGGCAGTTTAGAGAGCTGGGGAGCCCCATTGGGGGCATCTGGATTAGGGAAAGGCTCCTGCTAGGGCCTGATGGGTGGAGGGGCCCTAGGTCCTTAGCAGAGGATCAATTGGGCCACTGCCTCCACCCGGCTCCCTTAGG